CAACTGACAGGGCAAGCCTGTATATAATTACAGGGAGTAAAACCCACTCCCTTCCAGCACTGATGATGCTACCTAGTTGGGTCATGAAATGTCTGCAAGCAAACAACTGAGCACCAAGAACTCCACAGTCGTCGTCCTCCTCCTCCTCTTCCTTCCTTCCTTCCTTCCTTCCTTCCTTCCTTCCTTCCTTCCTTCCAACACTGATTATGTTACCTAGTTGGGTCATGAAATGTCTACAAGCAAACAACCAAGGTCAAAGAGCACCAAGGACTCCACAATCGTCGTCATCCTCCTCCTCCCCTTCCTTCCTTCCTTCCTTCCTTCCTTCCTTCCTTCCTTCCTTCCTTCCTTCCAGCACTGATTATGTTACCTAGTTGGGTCATGAAATGTCAAAAAGCACTGAGGACTCCACAGTCGTCATCCTCCTCCTCCTCCCCTCCCTCCCTTCCTCCCTTCCTTCCTTCCTTCCTTCCTTCCTTCCTTCCTTCCTTCCTTCCTTCTTTCCAGCACTGATGATGTTATCTAGTTGGGCCATGAAACATCCACAACTAAGCTCAGAGACCACCAAGGACCTCACACGTCCTCTCCAGCAAGAAGTCAGATAAGCAGGGATTAATACCAGACAAACAATACCCTAATCAATGAACTGTGAAGGAGAAACCCACAATCCCACCGACACTGACAGGACAAGCTACTGTATACAATAGGGGAGTGAATCCCTGGAGAAACATCCAAGTTCAGATGTCCTACCAAGTTCACGTGCTACCAAGCCACAGGACAACTTCTGGAGAACCTACAAAAGTCTCAAACTACTAGGAGCTCTTATGCACAATGCTGGAAGCAGGAAAATGTACCACCAGAAGCAGCACTTATAAATAAAATTTTAGACTGTGCAAAGATGGACAGGATGACACCTAGACCGAAAGATAAAGAGGAATCGACATACTATGGGATAGCCATACTATGTGTGGCTTAAGAACAAAAAGAAATCAAAGTTACAATTAGGTAAAGAATAAGAAATTATGTATAGAAATGTATATATCCACTATGAAGAAATTAGGAATATATGATGAAAATATTTAAACTTGTAATAAGAATAAGGGAAAGAATATGCAATGGTAATGCAATGTAACATCTATAAGGCAATAGAAATGATGTATATACTTTTATCTTAAGTTTTAAAAAACTTTTTGAAAACCGAATAAAGTTTATTAAAAAAAAATAAAAAAGGAAGGAAGGCTCCAATTGGTCCCTGGGAAATGTAAACTCGCTGAAACAACCCACTCATCTCAGGACGCCAACACGGCATCGATGTCTGTAGACCACAACAAAAACGGTCTCAGCCAGACGAACGTGGTTGGACAAAGATTTTCCTTCCCAACGTAGAGGAGGAAACTTTCTCGCCCACTCCAGATGAAGCTGGAATGGACTTCGTAATTGACTTCACCTGGTCCAACCTTTTGTTCACAGGCCGCAAAAATAAAAGTCACACCGCAGCTTTTGAAACTCTTAACTGGAACAAGGAGGAATCTGGTCGGCCAAGAGGTCAGAGAGAGAGAAATGGCGTGAGGGGACGTGGTGTGGTCAGCAATCTACACAAGATGAAACTTGGAGCAACTCTAGGAGTAAGGTGAAGGTGCTATATTCCATCTCCTTGACGTATCTTGGATTCCTTAACATGGATGGAATTCCACCGGTTTGGGACCGGTTCGCTCGACCCGGATGTTAAAGTTACATCGGATTCGCCAAACCAGTATTTCAACCGACGGGCTGGCCTCGCTCACTCTGCCCCGACCCTCCTAGGAGTCTCCATGCGATGCAGGGAAGTGCAGGGTCCCTGTGGAGACTCTGGGGGGGGGGGCTTCCAGAAATCCGGAAACTTCCAGAAATGGGCCTTCTGGAAGTCTGGAAATGGGCCTGTTTCCAACTTCTGGAAGGCCCCCAGAACCTGGGAGAGGCCGGTTTTGCCCTCTCAGAGGCCCGGGAGAAGACTCCAGACCAGGGGTGGGATTCAAATTTTTTAATAACTGGTTCTGTCAGTGTGGCTAGGTGGGCATGGCTAGGTGGGTGTGGCTAGGTGGATGTGCCAGGTGCGCATGGTAGGTGGATGTTGCCATGGGACTGGGTGGGCGTGGCTCTTTTTTTGCAGCAACCTCCCACCATTTTTGGCCTCATGGGCCTCCGGGGGGGGCATTTTTGCTCCCAGAAGGCTTCCCTGGGGTCCAGGAAGGCAAAAAAAGCTCCCCCCCCAACCCTGCTCCTCCTGGGCCTCAGGGAAGCCTCCTGGGCGAAGTAGTAAGATAGCGAGGGGGATCCCGGAACAGCTGATCATCAGAACAGCTGATCATCAGAACAGCTGATCATTGGGAGGGGGAAAAAAGAAATACCTTAAGGCAGGGGTCTCAAACTCGCGGCCCGCGGGCCAATTGCGGCCCGCGGGACGACATCCTGTGGCCCCCACCATGATATGAAAGTATAATATTAGTGTGGCCCGCAGGGGGAATGGACCTCTGAAGGAAGTCCCGCCCGCCGTTCCTCGTCGTGGCTGACATTCGGTGCTAGGCTAAGCTACACCGACTTCATGCACACTACGCTTGTAACAACAGTGTGGCGGATGACGAACAGTCCGGTAGCAGTCGCCTTTTTTTCCGGTCGCCATTCCGGTACTTTCTACCATCAGCAAATGCCACGACCAAACGCAGAGAATGGCAACTGCTACCGGGCTGTTCGTCATGCGCTGCGCTGTTGTGACAAGTAGAAGCGGAAATGACATCACATGGAAGCGGAAATGACGTCATTTTTGTGGAATCCCTTATGCGGCCCAGCCTCACCCAGACTCTGCCTCCAACGGCCCCCAGGTAAATTGAGTTTGAGACCCCTGGCTTAAGGAGTGACAGGGCGGGGGAGAATGCAGTCAGTGATGTCGGGCATGCACTATAAGAACTGACTGGGTGGGGAGGCGAGGGGCAGGCAGAGAGGGGCGGGGCTAGCCAGGGGCGTGATTTGCCGGTGCTCCGAACTGTGCAGAAACAAAGCAACCGGTTCTATAGAACCGGTCTGAACCGGTATCATCCCAACCCTGCTCCGGATCCTTGGGAGGGTGAAAACGGCTCCCCCACTGGCTCTGGAGGCCCACCGAAAGCAGGAAACAGGAAGTTGACCATGCCCACCCAGCAATCGGGCATTGAACCGGTTGCTGGGATTGTTCGAGCCCGTCCTTACTCCTTAACCAGGTTGGAAATCCTACCTGGAAAATTCTTCCGAGCAAGCGAGGGACATTTTCCCCATCTCCACATCTGGAGGACCTTTGGGGGGGGCAAGATGCTTTCGGTCCCAGATGAGACCACTAGGGGTTCTCCTTAAAGAAGGTCAAACTAGGAACTCCAGGCTGTTCCACCATCTCGGCAGGTCCTGGTGCCCATTTTCGCAGCTGAGTATCTCAGCCTGCTGTCCTCCAGGTGGGCCTTCATCCTCCCCAGTGGGGAATTATGGACATTGTAATCCCAACACACCTCGAGGACACCTAATAAACGAATTGAAGGTTGAGCAACGGAGACCCAACACCGTGTAGCGGTAGAACTACCGCTAGCCACTCATTTTGGGGACAACGGTGGCAAAACTCACTTTAAAAACGGGGCAAAACTCACGTGACAAATATCTCGCGTAGCAAACCGAAATTTTGGGCACCGTTGTGGTTGTAAGCCGAGGACTACCTGTGGATCTCCCTGAGCTCAGCAAAGCACACAGTCCCTCCCTCGTCTGAAGCCCACACGGGCTGAGGATGCTGGGAGTTGTAGTCCTGGCAGTTCTGAAGAGGGAGCCCTCTTGGAACGGGGGTCGGGTGGGGGAAAGGAAAGGATGGCTGATTTCTCTCTCTCCCTCCCCTCTCAAGATGGCTTCCCACAAGGACCCCTCCCCTCCTCACCCCCTTCTTCTTCCTCATCTGTTTTCTGTCTTCCGCTGCATAAATACATAACCTGTTTTCTGTTTCGTGGCGCAATTTTTCCATTCCCGGGGCAAGATCTGTGTCCGGGGGGGGGGTGGGGGGTTGGTTGAGCCAGGCAAGATAGGAAACAGGAGACAACTGTATTTTCTTTTATTCCGCAATAGCGGAGACATTCCAGGGGGAGGGGCAGGCGCTTCAAAGGCTTTCCCTGGAGACCCCAAAGCGATGGAAGGTCTAGTTCTCCCCCACCCCAAAGAATCGTATAACTCCGTTTGTGTCTGTCTGTCTGTCTGTCTATCTATCTCTATCATCTGTCTCTGTCTCTCTATCTGTCTGTCTGTCTGCCTCTCTCTCTCTCTCTAACCTTCCCTCCCTCCCTTCTTTCCTTCCTCCCTCTGTCCCTCCCTCCCTTCATCTCCCTCCCTCCCTTTCTTCCTCCCTTCTTTCCTTTCTCCCTGCCTCTCTCCTTCTCTCTCCCCCCCCCTCCCTCCCTCCCTTCCTTTGTCCCTCCCTCCCTCATTTCCTCTTTTCCCCCCTCCCTCCCTTCTTTCTCTCTCTGTGAGTGTTTTTGTGCATATGTGGAATTGTACTCGAAAAGCTTCCTAAAGTAACTACAAGCCCTCCAAGATGAAAATCAAAGTAATTTGCCTTCATTTAAAAAAACAACAACACCCTCCATTAACATTTGGTAGAGAGGGCTGTGTATTCTACAGGTAATCCTTCACCAAAGTCAACCTCTCCAATTCATCCCCTACAGCCAACTGGAATATAGTTATTCAAGAAAACAAGATTTCCCTTTCTCTCTCCCCCAAAATTCCAGGTTTCTCATGTCCCGTGTGAATTAAGGCAGCGTTGCAGCCTCTCTGTTTAAAAAGAAATTCCTTTCTCAGAGCAATGCGGTAATAAAAAAGAGGACGGAGAACTCATTAGGATAAAAGCAATTAGACCTTTATTTGACTGGCTAGAATTAAATGACTTCATGCCGGAGCAACTGGGGGTGATTTTGCTGCAGGAAATTTGCCGCACCTCCAAATCAGCTTCTCTGTCAGGCTACAACCTTGGCCTCGTGAGATCATTTTGAGACGTTAAAAGTCAAGAATTATCTTTTGATTCCCAAAAGATGCTGCACACTTCTTGGAAAGCCCAGAGGAAAAAAAAATCCACAAATCACCACTGCTGAAGTCCAATTAGCATCCCCAAGTATCTGACGGAGGTTTCCTCCACCGATTCACGTCCCACCGCAACCGGTTGCCTTCGCTGTCCTCCTCAGCAGGCCACATTATGGAGAAGGTACGTGGCCCAAAAGGTCACAAATCCCTTCAATCTCGTAGGCTAAGATCTCTACAAGCCTGGTAGACCTTCTTCACTTGCTGGTCATCATCCTCAGGAACTCCTCATAATTCATCTGCCCGTCTCCATCCAGGTCAGCCACCTTCAACATCTCCTCGACTTCTTCTCTGGACAACTTCTCCCCCAAGTTGGTCATGATGTGCCTCAGCTCCGCGGCGCTGATGTAACCGTTGCCATCTTTGTCAAACACCTGGAAGGCTTTCCGGATCTCCTGGCAATCTCGACTCTTGACCTCCTTCTCCATCAGGTTCAAGAACCCAGGAAAATCGATGGTGCCGTTTTTGTGCATTTCCAACTTGTGGACGATTTCCCGCAGTTCGGCTTCAGTGGGGTTTTGCCCCAAGGACCTCAAGACGGTCCCAAGTTCCCTGGTCGTGATGGTCCCATTTCCATCCCGGTCAAAGAGCATGAAGGCTTCTTTGAACTCCGCGATTTCTTGTTCCGTCAGAGAGGTCATGGTACCTTCTTCTGCCCCGACCAACTCGCCGATCCACCTTCTGCGGCTGGTTGCTCGTCTTGGCGGTGAAGAAATGCTTCTTCTTCACTTAGCCCAAAAAGGATTCAAGTTGTTTCTATTGGCCGGTCTCCAAGAGAAGTTCTGGCATCTTGCAACAAGGAGCCAACACCCCTGCCTTGATTCCACTGGAGCAAAGTCAACGGTGGAAATCTTCTACGGAAGGCTCCACACCCTCCTCATTAGGAACCTGCTAATCTGGTCTGGGCCAGGCCCGAAGGAAGTTAACGATTTCTAGATTCCATCCCACGTCTTTATGGGACCCGGGCCTGCTACTGGTTTCCAGTGACAAGCTTCTCAATGGTCTGGAGAACATCAGATTGAGGAGGAGAACAATAGGTAACTGATGATGGGGCTGGATGACCTCCAGCTGCCTCTCGGCAGCCATGGCCCAGTCTGTCCATTCATAAGTCCTTGTCACTCAAGAATGAAGCTCGCTCAAAGCATGTGCGTTAAGAAGTTAAAAAGAAAAAGAAGTATTAGAAAGCTTCGATTTTAGGAATGCGTTTGAAGGAAAATTTACCATTTCAAATAGGGTGGGGTGAAAAAGAGTGCACACCAAAAACGGTTAGAAACTAGTGGATGGGGAGTTCTAGTTGCACCCCCCCATGCACAAAAGCTGGGTGCTGACTTTGGGCCAATCACCAGGAGACGGTGAGTTCTAGTCCCGCCTTAGTGATGAAAGTCAGCTGGGTGACTTTCAGCCAATCACCAGGAGACGGTGAGTTCTAGTTCCACCTTATCCATGA